AGGGACAGCTAGCGCAGATAGCCCTCGTGTAGCTTTGCACGAAATTTAAATCAAACCAAGCTTCAAGAAAACAAAAATTAAATTAATGAAAAATATTGGATTGCTTTAATAAAATTTAATAATAACCCTTGTTGATTTTATAGAATGAATACTGAAATCTATCCACAAAATATTCTAAGCTTTTTATAGAAGTTTCGCTAAAACATTTGCACCTAGATCTATTAATATTCTGTAAGTATGTATGTATGTTCTAACTAGTTTGAAAAATATATACGGTTTTAATTAATTCCAAAGTAATTAATATCTGTGAGCCATTCAATGCTGTGTTCATATGCTTATTACGATCTTTAATTACATATGAGACACTAAATCCGGAAACTATTAATCTTAACGTTAATGAAAGTCGAATTCTGTAAGTTATTATTTAACGACTCTAATCATTTTTACATTTTCCTTGGTAGATATTTCGATTTTAAACCATTTGACCCAGAGCTCGAAAAGAGCCCAGAGTAAAATCGGGGGTGTTCAGAAACTTATGTTCATTTTCACCCCGCTCCAAAGATAGAGATAGCTTGATTGGCCAATGGTATTAATTATACTTAATGAAGTAAATGTTACTTGATGATATCTTAACTCTAAACCCAGCAAGAAAGAGAAAAGGTGACGAGCAAAGGCGAATAAAGACCGCGAGGTGAAGCCTTGGGTCAAAACATGATTTGTTGGAGGTAGCAGAAGTACGGGTGGGGATCAAATACCCTGACTTTTGTTGTGGGAGGAAAACAGGAGTACCCCAAGAAAATGACTCTAATCGTTTATTTATTTCTAATTTATAGGAAGATGTTATTGTTGATATGCAAACCACTGGTAATATTCTTGACCCAGAATACAATTTGGCTTATTACCGTGAAGATATTGGAATAAACGCTCATCACTGGCATTGGCATCTAGTGTATCCCGCCACCTGGCGACCAGAAGTGATAGGCAAGGTTAAGGACAGGAAAGGAGAGTTGTTCTACTACATGCATCAGCAGATGTGTGCTAGGTGGGTAACTAGTCTGCTTTTACTACTGTTACTCATCAGATATTGTATATGATTGGATTTAACCAACTGTAATTTGTTGGCAGTTTTATATACTTGTCATTTTAAATCTGTATTAATATATTACTAACCTTAAGCAACTAGAGGATTAGGAACTGTAAAATGAACAAGGATAAAGGAGTAAACCCTCTAACAGGAATGAGTTTCAATCTATAATGAACAGTGAAATTTTGAGAGTTTAACAGTTATAGGAGGCTTCTTATATTTTCGTAGCTTCTCAAACTTTTCAGTATTCTAAAGATGTATTTATTAATAACATTGTGGCTTCACGAGTAAGATTGTGACTTTATTTTACTTATATTCGTGAAGAGATTTCATAGTAAGGTAAGAAACAAGCGATTGAACCATATATCTAATATGGGATCCAAACTATTTCCACTTATAACTTAAAATTACCAATACGTATGTTGAGGATTTCATGTGAGCTTTATACAGTACGACGGTAATATCTTCCTTCCATCGCATATGACAAGTTGTTTGTTTGTTTATAATTGTATGATGTAAAAAATATCAAGTACTGTACTATACTCAGTTTACATGTAATGAAAATCAATATAAAATTTGCATGCTTAAAAAAAACTTCTATCATTTGGAGGGACACTAAGCAGATATCAATCAGAATATCTGTAATCATAGCCAATGCATTAAAAATTTATCAAAAGAAAAGTTCATTTGTATGAAGAAGCTACACAAATATCTAAAATTCTTAAGTTTCGTCTTTTCGGTGAATGTTCTGTTTCTTTCTGTATTCAGACTTCAAATGTTATGCATTTATTTATTTTTAAGAAGAGAGAACACCATATTTTAACTTGTGTATGTGAGAGAGAGAGAGAAAGAGGGAGAATGGCAGGGTTATTGGCGACACTAAATATTTAATATCCAAGAAATGTCAATTATGATAGGTAATGGTCTGAAATGCATTAAAGATCATTTAAAGAAACACTGTAATATTATCAAAGAAAGAGAGCATGTGTGATAATCGGTAATGAACTGAAAGTAAAGATTATAAAACAGTAGGAACATTTCATTTCGATAATCTTGACACTTCTCTTCCTATTGATAAAATTAAAAAGTCTCTGCGTCAGTAAACACAGAACTTTCTGTGACAATGTCAGTCACAAAAATCGCCACTGTTTCACATTATATGAACTCTTACAAGCCATGAATTTTGTACTTGATAATACATTTGTGCAGTTTGGTTAATATGTATTCGAACATATACGGGGAGTTCCAATGAAAGGTAACTCCAGCCTGTAATTTGCAGCTGTGTATTTATTTGGTCTAGAATTTTCATACATTACAAGCCTAGTTAGAATAGACTGTCAGTCTATCCTAGTAAGTCACATCAGTCGCGCTTACATGTATATAAATGATATTTGTATACCAAATTATCTAGGTTTTTCTGTACACAGCCATACAAATTATCTAGGTTTTTCTGTACACAGTCATACAAATTATCTAGGTTTTTCTGTACACGGCCATACAAATTATCTAGGTTTTTCTGTACACGGCCATACAAATTATCTAGGTTTTTCTGTACACAGCCATACAAATTATCTAGGTTTTTCTGTACACAATCATACAAATTATCTAGGTTTTTCTGTACACGGCCATACAAATTATCTAGGTTTTTCTGTACACAGCCATACAAATTATCTAGGTTTTTCTGTACACAGCCATACAAATTATCTAGGTTTTTCTGTACACAGCCATTCTGTACAAATTTATTCGCCAGAGTTCACTTTCAAAAAATCGCCCTTCCTGAACAAACAAAGCAAACTGTCTAGATTTAGATATTACCTTAATTAATCGAACATTTAACTTTAAAGTTTTCAACGAAACGTACACTTTCAACTTTGAAGTTATAAACTTTCCATTCCCAAATACAAATGTCCACCGGTGAAACAATGGTAAGTTTACGGACTTACAACTCTAAAATCCAGGATTTTGTTACCCGCGGTGGGCACAGCAGGTAGTCCAACGTGGCTTTGCTCTAAAACAAGCATATAACCTCAAATATAAATATTCCAAATAAATAATGTTACAATGTTTACTACTTTCAGCTTATTAGATATAATAGAAATTTTTCAGCATTCGGCATTTTAAACAGAAAATTATTTTAATTCTGTGGGAAGTTCAACAGGTAGTCCAACGTGGCTTTGCTCTAAAACAAGCATATAACCTCAAATATAAATATTCCAAATAAATAATGTTACAATGTTTACTACTTTCAGCTTATTAGATATAATAGAAATTTTTCAGCATTCGGCATTTTAAACAGAAAATTATTTTAATTCTGTGGGAAGTTCTTGCGATAGATTGTGGTTTGAAAAGTTTCACAGATTGTCACAACTTTTTAAAATGTTCACGTTTACACTTAGTTTCTTTCGATATTCTATAGAGTAATAGTAAACAGCTTTAGTGTTTTGACCACAGTTGGTTTTACCAACCGTTAGTTTAAGTTATTATTATATATAGTTAATATTATGTAAGTTTTACATTACATCATTAGTTAGATTAGTTTTTATATTTCCTTCTTTGGTCATATTAGCCTCGTGTATTTGTACATACATTATTACTTCCTGCAGCCACCTTTAAGTGTTTGTTTAAGGGGATAGTTAAGTCAGACTGATGATAAACGTCGTGTTAAGTTGAACTAGTTGTTTTGTGGTGATTACATTTCACTTTGATATATTATAATGGTCTTGTCAGCTATTATTGATTTGTTATTTTTTATCTTAATAAATATTGATTTTTGTTTGTGCCGTGGAAAAGCTGATGCTACCAACCCGACTTTGTTTAAACTAAAACAAATGGGTTTAACTGTCATAGCTAGGATATCTCCTGACGTTAAATACTTAAGATATCGTAATGACTTTTATTTAGTAAAGCGTGCGGTGTTAGAAAAAAGAGATCAAGATTCCAAACAAATACACATCTATGAGTATGGTTAAAGACATGAACTAGTGTTTGTGCGTTCCCTAAGTTTATTCATTGTTGCTTTCATTAATAATATTGGTTCTACTAGTTAGTATATCAAACGTAATTACTTTTTGTTTTCGTTTGTTGTTTAGTGGTATACTTTCTCTGTGAAGATTATTTTACATTGTTAGCTTAGATTCTGTATTTAGGAGTAACCTATATCTGGTAAGCTAGCCGAACTTCGTGAGATATTATTGGGTTTACGGTCGAAAATATCGTTAACAGCGAGGTACCCATCTGATGGAACAATGCATTTGAAACTTTATAAGTAGAAGCGTAAGAACAGCTATACAGATGGTTTGGTTAACTGTATTATCGCTCTAAGTACGTAGCATATTCTGATCGGAAGTTATTATTATCTACTATTAAGAAGTATGGTGTCGGGGATTTCTTGAAAGGATACATATATTCGACTATTTTGTGCAGTGAAATGTTAATAATTCATATCATACACTGACATCTTAATGAACCATCTTTCTCATTCTCAATTTAGGTATGATTGTGAAAGGTTGTCTAATGGCATGCCCAGGATGGAACCATTCCATAATTTTCACGAACCTCTAGAGGGCTACTCCTCCCACCTAAGTTCGTCGATCAACGGCTTACCCTATCCCTCACGGCCTGATGGCATGACTTTGCAGGATTTGAAAGAAGTCTCTGTTCAGGATCTGGAACGTTGGAGAGACAGAATCTCTGATGCTATCCACATAGGCCACGTGGAAGACGAAAATGGATCACACGTGCCATTAGATGACACACGAGGTATTGACATTTTAGGGGCCATGGTTGAAGCTAGTTATGAATCAATCAACCAAGCATTCTATGGTAGCATCCATAACTGGGGTCACGTGATCTCAGCCAGGGTCCTAGATCCCGATGGTCGTTACCATGTAAGTTTTTAATGTTCTTTCCTGTTTATTGTTAATACTTCCACTTTTAAGAAATGTGTGTGTCAACAGGGAACGTTTAACTTTTAGCTGAAATGTTACCGTTTTCGTCAGTTTTCTTAAATGTCTTGATAATCCCTTAAAATTTAAATATATACTAGATTTTATGCATTTTCATGTTTTTTATGTTTTCATTAGATGTATTTTAAAAAGCTGTGATAAGCAAAAAGCTCCCTGTGTTTGATAAATAGTTTTATACTTATAGAATGTTAAAAATATTATCATTATTATAAAGTTATCATTGCAATTCAAACGATTAAACCGACACTCCGAAGTTAACCTGGAAAGGGGCTAAAGCACTAAGCTACAACATTTCCTAGGTTATATCAAGTTAACTTCGAGAAGAAGGGATTAAACTATTTATGGGAACCAAAAGTTCTGTAAAATGTAAAGACTGTACAAAGCTGATAAGTAATAAAAACATACAGTGGTTATTCTGTTATACATCATGGAACTGTAGGATATCTTTACTTATAATAACATGAACATGTAGTATGTATATATCTATACACATTCGCAGTCATATACAATTAAATGAATTCAGATGTGATAGCTAAACCGATACCTTACTCACAGATTCTGTTTTTGTATTAAACATTTCTGTCTGAAGTTGAATCCAGGTGTGATGAGCGATACTGCTACCTCCCTCAGAGATCCCATCTTCTACCGATGGCATAGATTCATTGATAATATGTTCCAGGATTACAAAGAGACTTTGCCACATTACAACCATTCAGACGTAAGTACATTTTAAAACTGTTTTCGAAATTTTGATTTTCTATTTTTTTTAAATGACCACGAGGCAGTTTCTTAAAAAATTAAAATCAATGTTCAACACTCGGTTGAGTGCTTTAACATACAAAACATCATTAGTTCTGATCTTAGATAAAGAACTGTATGATAGCAGTCACGACGAAAATTTACTTATTCATTGTTTTAAGTAACTAATTCTTTAATTGTGATTCATGACTTACTATAGCTGCGGATTTCTTTTCACTTTACCTTGTAGCTCGAATTCCCAGGTATTGAAATAACCAAAGTCCTTCTGAACGCTGAACACACGAACAACATCAACACCTTCAAGGAGTTTTCAATGTTGGATCTCTCACATGCTTACGAATTTGGCAGAGATGGAGCCGTCAAGGTAATGGCGGGAACTTCTATCTCATAGAATTTCATTAAATGTCTGGCTTTACTTCTGTTAAGAGCTCATATCAATGATTTCAGAACATGTAAATCTTTTATGACAGCTGAAAGTAATCCGTAGTTTTAATTAAAATAAATAAGTATCAAAGAAAATTATTATAAGAAATAAAGAGAAGTGTTAGGATAAGTGTTTTAGCTACTTATGTTGTTTATGTATCTCTATATTTTATCATTACTAAAGCCTGGAGTAGGTAATTCATAACAATACATGTAGTTTTATGCGACTAACTATTTATACAGGTATTATCATAAAAATATCGAGTAGATAATTCAAGATAATTTTACCGAAATTAGTTCGGATTTCCTACTTTTAGTTTTTTACAGGGTTATTATTACTGCTGATCAGCTTATAGGCCTAAAGTGGCAACATTAGGCCTAGCATTTAAGATACATACTTCCACATTTGGTATTTTTTAGCTTTCCGAAAGATCTCTATTTGACAAATAAACCTACTACAAAATTGGAATTTTTTGTAATATTCAATGTATAGCATATATCATACATATTATGATATTATTATAAAGTTTATACATAACATTTAATGTTTCATGCAATATTCAACGTATTGTATTAATATTTAATGTATAAAATAACGTGTAAATTAGAAAATTTGGTAATTTTGGCTTGGTAAAGACAGATGCTTCTTGAAGCAAATCTTGTTGGCCATTATTAATAGAAGAACCTTACGAAAATGATTCGAGGGAGAAGAGCCAGCGACAAATTGTTCAAGTGTATAGTACCAATAAAATTAATATAATTAAAATCATCTTGTATACATTCGGTACTTCGTGTTAAAAAACAAAAACAATTGTTTGTTTGGAGTTAAGCACGAAGCTACACAATGGTCTATCTATTCTCTTCCCACCACGGTTATAGAAACTCGGTTTCTAGCGTTATAAGTCCGAAGACATACCGCTGTGCCACTGGGGGTCGGATAATAAAAACAACTTACACAATAATAATTGATATTTAAGCAAAACGTAAAAGGGGTCAAGAGTGGTTGCTACCGGCTGTTTTCTGCCCTGTGGTTCGAAATTAGGGACGGCGACACGCTACTCGGACTGCGCATGACAAGTGTACTCCATAATAGGAGGAAGGTCGGTCTGTACTTTGGCCAATACTAAACTTTTATTTATTTCACTTAAAGAAAGGCAAACAAACAGCACTCCAGATTCCTCTCAAACACATTAGAAAGAGATTATTCGAATTAGGAAATCCAGATTTTTGTCTCTACAGGACAGTGTTAATAAAACACAGAAATTACTAAACTTTTTAAATATTTTCCGTATATATGGTTGAGGCACTCGACTAGCAATCTGAGGGTCGCGGGTTCGAATCCGTGTCACACCAAACATGCTCGCCCTTTCAGCCGTGGGGGCGTTATAATGTGACGGTCAATCCCACTATTCGTTGGTAAAAGAGTAGCCCAAGAGTTGGCGGTGGGTGGTGATGACTAGCTGCCTTCCCTCTAGTCTTACACTGCTAAATTAGGGACGGCTAGCTCAGATAGCCCTCGTGTAGCTTTGAGCGAAATTCAAAAACAAACAAACAAACGTATATATGAAATGCATTAAATGAATTAGGATTTATGCATATAAGTACATATATCACAAATAAAATAATACTGGAGTGTATCAAATCCTTTAAGAAATATATTCTAAGTTGTTGTTGTTTTAATTACATAACTCTTAATTTGAAGGTCGGGCGTAGACTACTGTTAATATACCCTGCTACGAAATTAAAATTCCTAGGTTGGGGTCGATATATGCCACTGATTACGATAACTGTGAAAGTATATCTTGCTATTCGGTTAACAGTAGTTGCTTAAGCGCAAGATTATGCTTTGGTGTAATGTTATACATGAAACTTGGGGCCTTTAAACTGGTCATTTATCATTTGAACCACAAAAAGTGCCATTCAAGTTGAACTTACCAAATACATGTCTTAATTTGACTTAAATGATTATTTTAATTGAAAAATATTTCCAGTAAGCCAAGGTTATGCAGAGTTTTTAAATTTTAACCTTCAAAATAAAGTAACGTAAATGGCAAACCATAGGTAGCTGCAAATGATTTTTATAAAAGTTGAAAATTAGTTCATCTCCAAAAGTTATAGTTTAAACGCTGAAAGTTGGTGAAGAATTAGACATCAATAGGCCTAAAATATGTTATAAAAATCACGTAAACTGCAGGTGTTTTATTTTTCTTTTAGATATTCCTCTTAATTTGTCCATTTCAGATTCCAAATCATAGATGTATAAAAATAACATTTCAGATCTGATCTATTTTTTGTATTTCAGAAATCACTGCTTAAGATTCCTTTTGTTCAATATTAGTATTGAGAAAAAATCTGCTGTTTACGAAATTTTTATCACAAATTTTAAGTCTATTAGTTCATCTCTGTTTATACAGTATCACGTCCATTTCGAAATGACTAACTATGGTTCTTTTTTCATTTCCAATCTGTATAATGATTTCTATGTTAAGGTTTAGATTATTGTGTCAGTATCTCCAGACAACTTGTGTTTGGCTGACATTAAGTGTTAAATAATCGACCTCAAACAAATATTTTTATATTTTTAGGCTGATGTCAATAAAATGCACACCGAAGCTGATATGGCATTCTTTTATATTTACAATAAAAATAATTAGAATTAGATGTTCATAGAGGTTACTAACAATGAAAACGAATGATCCACAGGCCACATAATTATTTCTAAATCGTTTCTAATGGTGCAGTGAGACTGAAACAAGGATAAGGAATTCTGATATTATAAAACATGAAAACTGTCATCGGGATATCAGTGTTTAATTTTCATTAGCAACATTCATGAAATTGTGAGATATAGTAGACCGAAAATTTTACCTAAAAAATAACTTAAGGCTACATTTATCGAAAAGTACGAAAATATAAATTCTGTATTTGTGTAACGATTTAGGTTCGGTTCAGTCACTTGAACCACGAGGATTTCCACTACAAGATTCAGGTTGAAAACCACACTAGCAAAACAAAGCCTGCAACCGTTCGTATTTTTATGGCACCCAAGTACGATGAGCTAGGCAACGAATTGGATACCAAGAACTTGCGTCGTCTCATGATTGAAATGGACAAGTTTCATGCAGAAAGTAAGAATAAATACTTAACCATGACGTTCACTCACGATTTATATCATCTGGTGTTCTACTAATGCCTCGAGAGAAAAAAATGAAAAGTTTCTTCCTAAGATAAGCTCCCGTTCAGTGTTATTTCTCACACCGTTCGCATATAATAAATGATTACCAAGTATGATAAACAATTTTACACAGATTTTTTTATGTCAAATGTTAATGTTTTAAACTATTTTGCTAACATCCAGCTTTCAATCCTGTTCACAGTTCATCCTGGCCACAACACTATTGTTCGCCACTCTAAAGACTCTAGTGTGACCATTTCGTCTGCACGAAGCTTTGGACAGTTGGCTCATGGCGAAGGGATTAACGAACATGCTAATGAATATTGTAGCTGTGGATGGCCAGACCATTTACTGGTCCCACGTGGTGACGAAAAAGGCATGCCTTTCCACTTGTTCGTAATGTTAACCGACTGGCTTCATGATCAGGTATCAAATGTATCTTTTATCACATTGGTCAATTGACTGAATTAACCTTTTAGCACATAATAGCACACAACATTTATGCCTTTTGAGGAATAAAACGGGTCACAAGCTTGATGTTTGTTACAAAACAGATAAATTTCGTGTTTGAAACTTGCACTGTAATATTTTTTAATGTATCTAAAATTAAAATTAAAAGTTGTTTTTGTTGACCTTTCCCTGATTGTAATTTCGCAGCTTTCAGCGATAATAGAATATCATACACTATTGAAAAATGCTAATGCGTAGTTTCATGATAATATTTTTTAATACTTGAACGGTTCTATTCCAACCACAAATTCCGTGATTCTATATAGCATTAAAAGACGTTCAAAACATAAAAACATTGGACATAAAAATAAGGACTACTTCTATTAAAACAAAAGAGTTCTTTAATTTTTGAATTATATTAAAATACATAAACATTTTTATATATTTGTACCATATTGTGCTGCTACTTAATTCAAATTTTGCCGTCTTGGAAATATAATACACTTTGTAAAAATCTAAAAAAGACGAGCTTCAAACTTATTCACTTGCCGGAGTGACATGTTTAAAAACAATTGTATTTTTGGTTGTGACATGCTTCTGTATTATCTTCTTTTAAGTAAAGTAATATTTTTGGTTATGACATGCTTCTGTATTATCTTCTTTTAAGTAAAGTAATTTTTAAAAGTGATAATGTAACATATTTTATTGGTATATTTGCTTGTAATCTGTAATATATTTCTGTATCTGGTGTTAACAGTGATAACTAAATAGTCTCGTTCGTTATACGTAGGTTGGTGACCACGGCAAGACAGGGATGTGTACTGACGCAGTAAGCTACTGCGGGGCCAAAGATCAGCTTTACCCAGACCGACGACCTATGGGCTTCCCGTTCGATAGACACATCGAACTAGAACATCTCAAGGATTGGGTACTTCCTAACATGAAGGACACTCTGATCACTGTAACACATCACGAGGAGATTCACAACCATAACCACTAAAAAATGTAACCTAAGATATTTCTTTCTGTAGTTAATGGTTTCAAATTTCCATTAACAATAACATTTTTCGAGATATGCTTTAAACAGTTAAACATGAATTTTAATATGAACATGTTTTGGCAATGTAATAACTACTGGCAATTTAAAGTAGTACATGTTATTCAAATAAAGATATGAAACTAGGCTCTGGGACTATATCGAATGCATGGTTGTAACGACGTTTAATAATATAAATGAAATAAAGTTATCTTTAAACTGGATCCCTTGTGGCTCAACAGTGAGTTTCAAAATTTACAACACTAAATATTGAGGTTATTTCAGAGTTCATGCAAAAAAATTGCGTCATAAGAGTATATTCTTTCATGGAAATTTGGGGTTAAGCGCTTTAAAAAGTTTAAAAAATGCATTAATTTTAGTATTCTTAAGCTGTTACCGAGTTTATGGTAATCACCGATAACAAACATTTACATTTTGAAGCGAGTGTTATGTACACGTATGTAGTTGGCTTGATCGATGTAAACAATAACTGAACTTATGAATGTCACGTGGTTTCTTGTCTGTGCTAAGAAGAGAACTCTTACGCAATTATCAATGAAGTGAGAGAGAGAGCTATCGGATTATTTTACATATTCGTCAGAGAGTTTTTAATTGATCACGTCTGATTTGTCCGGCTTTCATACCTACACGGTTTGCAACCAAATAAAAATGGCAAATTTAATTTGATTATGAAGCTGTTATTTGTTGCATCTTTGAAAACTAATGATAATCAGCTATCAGCCCAATCATTAGACTAAAGCAACGTTTCCCAATATTTTGTTATCCACGCCCCTTTAAAAGAAATAGTTTTTTGCGCCCCCTCCTTTTTAAGTGAGTGAAAGGGTGAGTTTGTTCGTTTGTTTGTAGTTAAGCGCAAAGCTACACAAAGTTCCATCTGTGCTGTACCTATAACACGTACCGAAACCCGGTTTTTAGTATATGCCTGCAGACTTACAACGCTAGAAACCAGGTTTCAATACCCTTTTGAGGGCAGAGCACAAATATCCCATTGTGTAGCTTTGCTTAAATACAAACAAACAAATAATAGACTTATCGCTGTGCCACTGGGGGATGTGGGGGTGGGCAAACAGTGACGAAATGTAATACATAGATATGCTTTAGAATGCGATATGTGTTGTAGTAATTAAGTATTATTTTCATTAATCAAAAATATATTCAAATACTTAATTTTTTATTATTGCACTCTTGACTCTACCCTAATCGCTCCCCTAAAAGATCATTTGAGGGAAACATTGGACTAAAGCATATCTACTCGACTTTGTAATTACTACACAATGACCACACACACCTGTATTAAAGTGGTTTTACCAGTTTCAAAGTAATTTGTCAGTGTACATCAAAATGCCACAGACAACAATTTCTCACAAATTATAACAAAAATAATAAAGAACACAGGTATCCCTACTTTAAAATGACTATATTAAATGTTTAAGATGATGAAAACTACAAACACTTGTTACTATTTTACATGGTGTTTTTGAAATATGCCTAATTATTTAAGTGCAGTACAAAATAATGAAAAACAAAAAATTTGGAAGACAGTCAACTACCACATCCAAAGTTAGACATACAGTGTATGTATATACAACAGTTATATAAAGGCACAACAGATTTACACATTATGCAGCAATATTTAGTTTCTGACAGTTATTCAGTTTAGTAAAACACACCTAACCCATGAAACACTGTTACAGTCAGTTATATTTAATTAAAAACGTATGCCATTTGTACGAAACAAAGGCTACTGTGTATAATTCTGTGTTGATTTAACGCAGTGCCAAATTTGGTCTAACGAATTAATATTAGTTCCCTATGCTTCTGTACATCTATAACTAGACATGACACAGGTGTTGATGAGTCGTGATGCAAAATGAAGTTAAACCAGGCACAAAGTGAAATGCAAAATGAACTATTTTTATCATAAAACTAAACACTTTTTTACTTACAACAGATTGCCACTTTTACTGGATTATCTCAGCTGCTTCTCCTTCAAAATCTAACGTTCAAAAGAAATGTCGAATTTACCCAGAACAACTAGGGCTGCCACTTGACTAGTCATTCTCATTACAATATAGATTCTCAGATTAACTTATTTCTTCCCAAGTATCAGGCAGATCTACTTTATAATGGGAGATTCGTGCAGGATAAATCTTAATTCAACTAAATTACTGAGAATTAAGTTAAAAGAATAAACAAACTGGACGTAAAGTGGGTAGCAATCTTGATTTATAACTAAAAGTAAAAAAAACAACAGAAAACAGTGTACATACTTGCGTAAGACACTGAATAATCCTAATTTCTACTAGACCTATGAGTTAGTCAACAGTTTTCACCTCTCCGGATGTACATCCATTGACCTATTCATATTAATAACCAAGCAGAATGTTTTAAAGCTAACACTATGTACAAAAACATGTATCCTCAGTTTCAGGCGTAAATGATAAATGTCACCACGTGACTAGTCATTCTCTTACAACATTCAAAAACTACAACCTTTAGGTATCATCTACTCAGCTATTGAAGGACGTTGGTGTTTATGACCAATTCCACACAATACGAAGTTGTACAATATCTCTGCCAGCAAAGTAGATAATATCTGCTAGAGAATAACATAAAAACAACAATAATTAGAACTGAACAACAGATTAAAAGTTTTCTCGACAATGTGTCCATCAAAAAACTGAATTGAAACAAACTAAACGAAAATTGTTAAAAGTTTGGGAGAAAACATATGATATGCCTACATATTAAAGTTTTTCTCTCTCCTCTGTTTCAAACTGACTATTAATTTTAACTTAAAAACCAATAAATTTTGAACTTGTGACAGGGTAAAGAAGTTATTTAGCTTTTCCGTGTTCCTACAAACGATTACACACCATGTGGATGACACAACCCTTAAACAAAGTACTATACTGAAATACATGAAATAACCCTTTAACAATGTATTAAAAAGTAATATATATAGTAAGTTATTCTGGCTTGGTTCAACGTACCGAGCTTATACTGGAGAATTAATATTTACTATAATTCCGAATTTACTTCGTCTATCTTCATGAAATTTGGCAATATTTTAGTGAATGTACAAAGTATGTTGCATATGAAAAATATTTTTACTAAAATATTTCTACTGAAGATTCATCTGAGAATTTACTGAGTCAGTCTGCATGAAAGGTGAATTTTATGATAGGAATACTACTGTTTATTCATTTTAAAGTTTCAAATCTCTTTTACATAGCCTCTAGAACCTCATAGATGAATATAAGTTTGTTTGTTTTTGTGGTAACTTTGTATATTTTATCTGTAGATTTCTCAACACAAATGCATATTTGATTCCAGGATCTTTAGAGAAATCATCCAAGTATAAGGAAAAGAATGATTGAAAGACGTGAAATGAGTTGAGTAACACAATTATTTCCTTTTCATTATTGACCATGAAATTACAAGTTACTTATATTCACAGGCCCCCCCAGTGGCACAGCGGTATGTCTACGGACATAAAACGCTAGAAACCGGGTTTCGATAGCGTGTTGGGCAGAGCACAGATAGCCCCTTGTGTAGCTTTGTGCTTAACTTTAAACAAACAAACAAATATATTCACAATTTAAACCTTTATATTTTTATTAAACCCGTTTTCTGTTTTGTTTTTATTTTGTGGTATCCATTTGTATTCCCCCACACCACCACCTTGGACAATAAATCACAATGTGAGCCATTACCCTGTTTATAGCAAACAATAACACCTGGTCTGACAAACACACACACGTGCGAAGCTCTTAGTTATATTTCAGTAATGCAATAAGCTTGGAGGGAAATTTATGCTATGGCTTAACACTTTGTACAGTATAAGTAATAACCATAACAGAAATAATAGGCATACTTAAAAAAATAAAGCCTCAGATAATGGCAGAATACAATATACACTTATCAAAAAAAGACTCAATATTCAATTTATCCTTTAAATCAGGTTATATAGCAGCTGCTTGGAAGCTAGAAAGCCAGCCAATAAACTAGAAAGCTACAGAACAATTAGCATTACCAGCTGTATTGGCAAATTCTTAGAAAAAAATGATCAGTTCCAGACTACTGGCATATCTCGATCTGACACCAAAATTACCGGAAGTTCAAAATGGTTTCCGAAAATCAAGGCTAACTACAGACCATTTAGTACGACTCACAGAAAACATAATAAATGATTTTAATCGGAATGAATGCGCTGTCGCCTACTTTCTCGATTTCGAGAAAGTAATCAGTAGATTAGTTCAAACAATTTCAGAACGAAAATGCTTCATTAAACACACTGAAAAGGTTTATTATACATGATGAACGTAGATCTAAACACTCCTCCCCCTAAACTCATTATGTAACTCACCGCTACCTACTTCTGGACAAACTGGTGACTAGATAAAATGTTAGTATTATTTTAAAATGATATTTATGTAGAAATAAAATTAGTACTGTACATTTTACCGGCAGTTATGAAACTGCTTGAGAGAGCAAGACCATATGTTCATAAAGAACGACAAAAAACGAAATAATTGCTAGTAAAAACAGAAAAAATCCATGGACATTGCCTGAAAAGGGCCACTCGCATGTGCAACAAGCAACGGACAATCGTAGTGCGCATTCAGTTGCCTGCATGTTGTAACAATAAATTTTCCTGGTTACTGAACATAGTGGAGAATCGTGCAAGCTTAATCAAACTGAATGAAGCAATCAAACAACAGACAAGGAGGGAAGTAAAGGTTCGGCGTGTACCTGATACTCCCTAGTCTCTTGACCAAATAACAGCTAGATAGAAACAGTATAAGTAATTTGTGCCAAACTCGTAAGATCGAGAGGTAGAAATAAAGAAAATCTCAAATGGGCAATTTGGCATGCATATGTATCATGTGATACAGAGAGAAGAGTGGAATATTAAATATTTATTGTTAAAATTAAAACTTATCTAATATTAAAATTTAAATTATAATCTAAATTTTGATGCAAAGTTTATTGACAATAACGTTGTAATAGAAAGGTCGTGAGAAGCGCAGAAGAATATCACGTTCAGTAGACAAATATATAATTATGTAGCAAAACTGGCCTACAACGTAGAACTTTCTATCTTAATGTACCAGTATTTTTTTCAAATACAATAACATATATAGTTTTAGTTGTTGTTGTTTTTTGTTGAATCGTTTAACAATAAATAAATAAAAAACAT